AACAACACAAAGTTCACACAATTAACCAAATGTTCTCAGAGAAAACCTCTAGAAGTAGCCATTTGTATAATAAATATATGGTTATCACAGTAGGTCAAAAATCTGTGACAAATCTGCTGTTTCTTTTTTTTTGGCAGTACTGAAGTTTGAACTCAGGGCTTCAGGCTTGCTGGGCAGGCACTCTATTACTTGAGCCACACCTCCAGTCCTAGATCCACTCTTACCTTTACATTTTATCCAACATAAAATTACATTTTACTTGTGAGGGACGAGAGTCCAGTGAATGCACACTTCCTTCAAAACATGGTAGAAGACAGAACAGAATCTGCCTTGTCATATTAGGAATTCTTATTGCATATATAGCAAGTGAAAATGAAGAAATCGGACTTAGTATTGTTAAGGAAATCACAGCAATGCAGAATTCCTGGGAACTTGTCCTACGTTCGTGTTGTATTTAAGTTTGTGACTTAAATGTGGTGGTTGAGATGTTTTTCACTGTAATCTCAACAAACTATAGCAAACAAAGGACCACCACAGAGAATCAAACACGGACCTCTGAAATGCTGTATTTTTAAAATCAAAATATATCTACCATTTTTAAAATTTGCATGTATTTTCATTGTCTTTAAGAACAATGAGAATGATAGACTGTTTTGCAATAATTAGACTAAAAGACTTATTTCTTCTAATCAAGGATATACAACAGCTATTATGTAGGAGACCACCAAATGTGATGTCAAGATTTACTTACTAATCAAGGATATACTATTATGTAGGAGACCACCAAATGTGATGTCAAGATTTTGTTAACTATTACTAATATAACCCTTACATAGAAATTTTAATTTTATAAAGTAGTGTATAATTCTATAACATTAAATTCTTGTTCTCAAATTAAAATATCTATTGATCTTCAATATGCTGTGTAAAATCTTGCTTCTCTGGAATTTTACCAACAAGGTTTTTCTTCCTTTTTACAATTTATAATTTGCACTGTTTTATTCTGTTTAAAAAAAAAGACTCATTTGTAACCCATGCAAACAATCATTTGATCCGTACTAACTCATGAATTTGACTTTCCAGTAAAGTTAATTAAAAGCTTACACACAGCACTGGCAATCTTTCTTTTTTCTTGTGCTTGGATATGGCTTTTTCTAAGGTTTTAAGGTCTGCTGGGCAGACCTTTGGAGTTTCTGATTAAGGTTTTTGGTGAGATCTGAGAATTTGCATTTCTAGCAAGTTCCCAGGTTAGGCTGCTGGTCCAGGGACCTGACTGAGAATTATTGTGTCAAGGTATTGTCTGCACAGCCTCCACCTCCCCCAGTGGGTTAGGTTATTCCACCCTTGGGAGACAAGATTCAAAACAAATTTATCCTGGACCCTCCCTCTTCTGGGAGGTGGGTGCTCTAGCTGGCATCCATTTTGAGGCCCTGGGGACAGGTCTAGAGGTCTGGCTGGCAAGGCTGTCTTGTCAAATGTTTTGGCTGGGCTTGAAAACCTAGGATCTCTTGGCATAGCTGGCAGGACCAAGTTTTTCTGGGTAACCAACTGCCCAGCACATGCTGCGCCTTGTTGAGTTTTTCCTTTTGGACTAAGTGAAAGCCTCTGAGGCTAGTGGGGAGCTGGTCTAGGCCAGATGTAAAGCAAGACCCCATCTCAAGAATAACCAATATGAAAAGGACAGGCTGAGTGACTGAAGTAGGAGAGGAAATTCCCTCCTCTTCCTCTTCTGCTTGGCTGGTGTTTAGATGCAGTGGCAGGAGCTAGAGCATCATCTTGTACCACAAGCTGTGCATGGAAGGATGACAGCAATTAGAAAGGACACTTGGCCCCTCATGTGGGAAAAGGTTATTAATACAGCTAGAACTTTTGTGGGAGAGAGAAAATTACAGACGAACCAAATAGTTCTATGTCCCCTGTATCAGTTATCTATTGCTGTCTAACAAGTCACCCCCAAAAAACTATCTGAAAACAGCACCTATTTGTGCTTGTGATTCTGTGGTTGGCAGCGCAGGCAGGCACACCTGGACAGCTCTGCTGGTCTCACCTGAGTCCTCGGGCAGCGACAGCCATCTGATGGCACGGCCTCCCTCACATGTCTGGCCGTGGAGCTGGCTGTCAGCTGAGTCACATCTGTGTCAGGTCACCTCAGCCTTCTCCTGTGGCACAAGGTTTCCCAGTAAGCAGCAAAACAGCAAGCCAGTGCACAAGTGCTTTTCAAACCTCTGCTTTGTCACCTTTGTAATGTTCATTGGCCAAATCACAACAGATCTTGACCAAACATCTTACTGGATCAATGTGGGAGGGGTGATGAATAGGTAAGGACACAGGGATAGGGATTCATGGAGGAGGGGCGCTACTACTGGAACAGCCAAGTGTGCTGTGACCATAAAAACCAACCTGGCTAAGTAAAATTCAATGTAATCTATCAACCTAACAATGAAGAAGAAACCTCAAACATCTCATAGATGCCAACACAAAAAGTGATAATTTTTTGTGTTGGCACTGGGATTGACTCAGCACTTTGCATTTGCAAAGCTGGCGCTCTACAACTCGAGCTATATCTCACCTCCAGTCCACTTTGCTCTGATTATTTTGGGGATGGGATCTCCCAAACTATTTGCACAGGCTAGCCTTGAACTATAAGCCTCCTGATCTTAGCCTCCTAAGTAGCTAGGATCACAGGCATATCCACCAGTGTCTGGCTAGCATTTAATAAAATTTTAATATTGTTGTGGAATCTCAAGCTGAGATATGGGACACTGAGGCAGTTTAGCAGGAAGCAGTTTTATTGTGCGGCACAGACCCAGCGAACTCCTGTCCAAGGCTGAGCCCCTAGAACAAGGGGTCTCACCTTATATATCCTTGCAAGCAGGTTACAGAAGGAAAAAGCAAAGTCTAATCCATATATGGTTATATGCAGTTCCATAGGCTACTTTACCCCACTGCTACGTGACTTTCCCCCTCCCCAGTGTTATGTGACCCTCTCCACGCTCAGATTCCTCAGGTTTTACCTCTCTACTAAGCCATCCCACTCCCTGCTACTTTATCAGAACTCAGGCCTACTGTTTTTTTCTTCTGATCCTTCTCCCTGCTCCTTATAAAAACTTCAACTCAGAATTGAAGGATACTTCCTGAACCCTGATAAAGGTTATCTATCAAATACCTATAGCAAACCTACCTTATCCTTACAGTGAAATATTTGAGACATTTCTATTAAGGTCAGACAGGAGAGAACTCTGCTTCCTATCACTGGTAACATTCTACCTTGTACAGATGTCTTGGACATCATGGTAAGACGAAAAAATAAATGAAAGGATAAAAACTACAATGGAGGAGAAATTGTACTTTTATGTGCAGGGTCATATGACTGCATGGAATTCAAGGTGTCTGCAGGTACACTAACCTAAGAAGAATCAGTGAGCTGACTGGATGGAAAGGTCAATAAACACATGGGAAAGACGGAATGACTTAAGAATATATCCAAGGAGGATGTAGCTCTGTGGTAGAGCACTTGCCTAGCATGTGGGAAGCACCCTGGGTTAAATCCCAAGTATTGCAAGGTCAAAACAGAACAAAAGCCAAAATGACAATATCTAGGAGGGAAGATGGGACCCAGGCTTTAGGCAGGTGTGTGGCTTATTACCCCCCCCAAAAAAAAAATGAAAAGAAGAAGGTGGGGAGTTGGCACACCTAATAATCCTAGCACTTCAGAGGCTCAGGAAGGAAGATCAAGCATTCAAGGTAGCTGCGGCTACACACTGAGACTCTGCCCAAGATTCTCCCCCACCCCAAGAAGAGGAAGAGGACAAGGAATTGGAGGAGGAGAACAACAGCAGCAACAACAAGAGATCTGAAGCAAATAAAGTAAAATCTCATCTGTTGCATCTGGATGGGGGATGCAAGTGTGTCTGCTACATTGTTTTCTTTCAAAGACTGTTTCTACCCTTCCACCTTGTGAGAAAACAGTAACAGAGTAACAGTCAGAATAAGAAAGCAAAAACAAGCACTTTGGCACACTGAAGCTCCGGGAAGTTTGATCAAGCACTTGCCAACCTGCACAACTGTGAGAAAAAAATTTCTGTCAATTACAGATAACCCTCTCTAAGGCATTTTGTAACAGCAGCACAAATGGGCTGTAACACTTTTTCTCTGCTCACTTTTATCCCTCTGCCTTCTGGGTTCCAAGGCTTCTGATACAAAATCTGATGAGGGAAATTATGGTGAAGTGGGCTCTCTCCACCCCCCACCACACAACAGATGTTAAAAGTGCTCATGGTGCTTTAGGGAACACTTCTTTTTGTGACAGTGGAGTTTGACAACTGCTATCGAAGGATTAGTTTGACGTCAATCACTCCAGGTTTAAAGACAAAGGAATTGAATACCTCGAGTGTAGATAGGATGAGGTCTTTAAAAGCCAAATTTATCACAGATTTTCAGAATCCAACTGAAGAGGCCATTGAAGCATCCACTGGCTTCAGCTTCACAGGGAGAAATACCAGTCTCCATGACCCACCAAGGAAGAAACTGTTGGAGTAGGTTATTTTTTGAATTTTTTAAAAAAAATTTGTAATGGTCTTTGGACCAATAAGACAAGCTCTGTGGCTTGTGCCAGCTGTGATTGGTTCACGTGTTCTCTGACATCACCGAGGGGCCATTGTTAGTAAGGCCAACTGCCATCCAGCAGGTATATAAGGAATTTGCCTGGGCTGGATTTTTGTCCATACAGTGCAGGAAGCTCTTGGTGGTGACCTGCTGGACACTACAAAGCTTGGTTGACGGATTTTGGGATTTTGCTTTTTGGTCTTTGTTTTTGTGGCCTGTTTTTGCTAATATTTTTCATTTTTATTTACCTTTTGATTTGATATTTTCTTTTATTTTTTTCTTTTGTTTCTTTTCTGTTACATTTTCTTTTTTTCTCAGGTAGTGTTTTTTGTTTTATTCTTGGTTATTTTTTTTTTGGGCTTTTTAATTTGTTTCTTTTCTAAAATTTGGTAAAGATGCCAGATCATTCTATAGTGAGAGGTATGAGTGGCTGACAGCACAGCGCTCTCTCAGTGCCAGGTCCCCTGATGAGATCCTCAAGGCTCAGTATTGGCTCCTGAGGACCATAGGCGAAGGTTACTTTGGCCATGTGAAACTTGCCTACCACCGCCTCACGAGAACCCAGGTTGCAGTAAAACTACAGCAGAAGTGGGGAAAGCTCCTACCTTGCGATGAAATCTCTATACTGAAGACACTGGACCACCCTAACATCATCAGACTGTTTCAGGTGATCGAAACAGTGGACCATGTCTACCTGGTCATGGAGTACGTGAGCGGAGGGCAGCTCCGCAGCATATCAAGGACGCCCAGCGCCTGTGTGAGGAGAAGGCCCGTGGCATTTTCAAGCAGATCCTGTGTGCAGTCAAATACTGTCACGACAGAGGCATTGTGCACAGAGACCTGAAAGCTGACAACATCCTGCTTGATACTGAAGGCAACGTGAAAGTCATCGACTTTGGCCTTGGCACCAGGTACTCCATTGGAGAGGAGCTCACAGATTGGTGTGGTGCCTTTACACACCGGGCACCTGAAGTATTCCTGCGCCTACCCTATGATGGCCGAAAGGTGGACGTCTGGAGCCTGGGCGTCGTCCTCTACTGTATGGTGACGGGAGCCTTGCCCTTTAGAGGGGAGACTGTTATGCAGGTGCGGCGGGCAGTCCTGGAATTAAGGTATGACATACCCAGATACCTTTCTATGGGCTTGAGAAATGTCATAGTTCAGATGCTCACGAAAAACCCTAGTGAGAGGCCCACTGTAGACCACGTCGTGGGGCACCCTTGGCTAAGGCAAGGGGAGGAAGGGTCACCTAGTCCAGCTGTGGAGCGTCTGCCCAAACACCCGGACCCTGCAATCGTGGTGGCCATGCGTGACCTGGGTTACAACCCAGATGACATTCGCCAGTCTCTACTGCAGAGACGATTTGATGAGGCGATGGCCACCTACCTCATGTTGAGAGATCAAATGTGCCAGGAGGTTACATTCAGAGCCCGAATTAAGCCCCAGGTGCGCCCAGAGATTGTGCCCACCCCATCCCCTGCAGACCCTTCCACCTTTGCTCCCCCCTAAGGAGGAGAGCCAGTGCACCTGGCCTTCTTCAGACCTTCACGTTGTCCTCCGATGACAAGACAGGGCACAGGGGCAGAGGAACAGCCAGCCTGCCTAATGTTCCCCTCTGCATCCTGCCAAGGAATGTCTCTACCACAAGCATCGTCCCCCAGCCTGGTCCTGCGGCTGCTCCGCCCCCTGGGGAGGTAGAGAGTGGCATGTCCTCTAAGGGAATGTCCTCAGATGAACACGCCTTCACCAGCGGGCAGCCCCACGATGTGGCCACAGTGCCTTCCAGCGGGAATATTCAAGGCTGGAAGAGGGTGAGGAGGAGGATTGTGAACTCTGTTTTAAGACTGTGTTGTTGTGTGCGGGGCCAAAAGTGACACCCTCACTTCCACAACTAAGTGGCTTCAGTGAAAGCTACAGACAGCTGAGAAAGGCACAGTAACAACAGAGAGCCAGAGGACCCCGTGTGCGGTGCATCCTTTCACCATAGTGTGGGGGTTGGACCAGGTATATCCTCAGCCAGCTGCAGGAAGGATTCAAGCAGGACTTTCAAGCTGCTGTGAGCCCAGCAAGCCCAGCAAAGGCCTCTGTCCAGCACAGGAGTGAGGAGTGAAACCATCTTTCCATGGAATGGCCCATGGTCATGGGCCTCTCCTCATGGGACATGGAGGTCTCCACTAAGAAAATCACCTGGAACCAAAATGTGAGGAAAGCCTGGGAATAGACCAGGCATGTACTTTTTCAAGTGCCCTCAAGGTTTGAAATAGGCACCGAAAGTGCTGCTGCTGAACGTCCATATTTCCAATCTTACGATCGGTGTGCTGAAGGTCTGAAGACAAGCGCCTTCCTCTGCATCCTCCAATTGCTTCCTGGCATCAACATAGTCTGGACCTGCTCCAGCTTGCATCCCTTTCCACCTGTCAGTCAGGATGCTGGTTCTCTTCACCTCCTAGTGAACAGCAGGGGGACTGTTGTCCTGGGAGGAGAGCGGTGAGAGCCACGCACATAGAGGAGGGATGCAGCATCCGAATTGCCCTCATTCGGTTGGTCCCTCCTAAGGACCCCATGTGCTCATGCTCAACAGGCCTGGGCAGAGCAGGGCGGAGGTTTCTACTTCTGGATGGGGACGCTGGAGTTTGAGTCACAGGTGTGGACGCTGGCCACACCTTCCCCGCCACCAATCTACGAATGTGGACGGAAGTCCACACACGCAGGTACTCGGGGTGGTGGAAATCCTAGAGGCCGTGGCTGAGAATGCAGTGCAGCAGCAGAACAGGAGCTGAGCATGCACAGATCCTGGGCTCCCTCTGCACCACCAACTGAGAAAGGCAGGAATGGCTACTAGAGAGGACAGGGAGTTACTGCTGAGTGGACAGTTTCAGATTTCCTTGGCTACCAGCCTAGCTCAGTGGGGAGTCCTGGCCTAGCATGCAAAGGGCTCTGGATTTTTACCAACCACTGAGGGGAAAAATGCTTTAAAAAAGAGTTGTGGAGATGGATGGTGGTGATGTTTGCACGTTATGAATGTGTGGTCATAGGCCTCACAGCAATGTGTCTGCCAACACAGACCTCTTCCACCATAATAGACCCATAGATCACAATTGAGCTGAAAATTTCTCTTGTCTGATGACGTGGTAGTCATCCTAAGGGTGGAGTGCGAATGCACTTCTCCCTTGATGCTGTCATAAACAGTGTGCTCTAGTCATGTAAAAGTGTAGCAAATAGTTATGTACAGTACATAATATGTCACAATGACAAATGACTACATTCCTGGTATATGTGTGCTACATGGTACTTACTGTTATCTTAGGACATACTTGTGTAAGAGGTGCTTTACTGTTTTTACTGAAAAGCACTGACTCCTTCCTGTCAGATGTTTGGGAATCTTGGGTTGGTAAAAGAATTTACCCAGACAGAGAACACAAAGATTTCTTAGGTCAGCAGTAAAAGGGGAAACGGTGGTGGGCGTTACAGAAAGGAGCATAGCTGGCGGGTACAGGGGTGAGAACAGATTTTATACCTCTGGTTAGGCGACTTTTGACTGGCTCCCTTTGTGCACACATACTGATTGGTTGTTCCTTCCCAGGATCAAGGTTTGAACTGAATGCAAGGGGGAACATCTCTGCAAGCTTGGCTTTTACTTCTGTGTTCTGCCCAGCAGACATGATCCACCCCGAACCTTCCATCTGTTCCTTAGTGTGCTTTTGTCTGCCATGTTTCCTTAAAATGGGAGCTCCTCCACACCCCTGACAGAACAACAGAACAAATCCTTGTTTTAGTGGGGAGAATGTCTTATCTTCTTGTAACTCTTTGAGCTGTGAAGGGTGGTAGTCATGTTCCTGCCTATGTGTACTTTGTTCTGGCAGAGGGTGATGGTGCAGGCCATGGGGACATGACAGAGTCTAATTGAACATGGATTAAAATTGTATGGAAGCCTGGGCCAGGGTGCTAAGGGGCATTGAAGGGTCAGGCAGCAGAGAATGGAGCCCATGTTGTAGCTTGATTTGTAACTTTATGGCATCGAGACAAAAAGAAAGAAATCTAGTTAGAACATTAAGGCACAGACCAGTGGCAAAAGGACTAAAATAGATACTAGAGGGCCCAAGATCAGCAGAAACCTTGGGATAACACTGGCCAGATATTTTCCCTTGAGAGCCATCCATGGGTGGATTCTTCTTTAAGTTGAGAGGCTTGGTGGGTCGTTCATGAATATTAGTTTGAATTTGTCCTGATCCATTAGCCCAAAAGCAACAGTCTTCCACAAGTACACCATACATTTCCCCTTGGAGCACTCAAGGAATTGGCTCCAAGAAAGGTAGACTGATGAAATCTTCCATTGGGAAGATCCAGGAAGGAGCAGGTGATGGTCTGGTGCTTGAGCTCCTTTAGCTATGGCCTCCTCAATTTCCCTAGAGTTAAACTGGAGAGAGTAGAAAGGGATGAGGGAGGAAAGTTGCTGCCTCCTCAGCTTATTTAGCAGGCAGTTTGTTAGCCAAAGGTACCTGGCCTATGGCTTTCTTGTGGGTTTGGCAATGAATTATGGCTACCACATTTGCAGTTTGATGGCCTCTGGTAAGATTATGATTCCAGGGACATGTTTCAGTGGAGAGTTTTAGGCTGTTAAAAGTCCATTTTATTCCAGATGATTGAGTTGTGTCCTTTCTGAGGCATACGCAAGGTCAGTTTATATCGACTGTTTTCTTTACCTCTCATTGAAGAGCTCAAGTGAAGGCAAATAGCTCTGCCTTTTGGAGTGAAGTAGAGCTACTGGGCAAGGGCTAGACGCAGTGGCCTGTGACAGTCTTTGACAATTGCATAAGCAGAAACCTGTTTCCTGCCAATCATAAACCTGCTGCCATCAGTGAGCAGGTGGTATCAGGGTCAGTGATGGAGCATCCTGGAGGTTCCCACCTGGATGTGTTGATCAGAGCAATGACTTCCAGGTAAGAGTGTTGGAGTGTGGGGTCAGTGTTTGGTCTGCTAGTAACTTAGCAGGATTCAGAGTTTGACCAGACTGCAATGGAGGTCTGAGGTGCCTAGAAAGAGACCTTGGTACTTGTGAAAGTGGCTGTCGCATAGCCATGGGAGGCCTTCAAGTTTCAAATGCCTGTTACTTGATGGAGTTCAGCACTGTCATCCCTCGCCTCGGGGTCAGTTTAGACGCCTGAGCTACTGAGGCCAAGGCCCTGAGAAATGGGCGCATCCTTGACAGAGTGTGCTGCGTGGTGATTGGCGGGCGCCATGGACTCCAAGGCAGTCACCTGTCCTCATGGACATATGTGGAAGAGTTTTCCCAAGCCAGGGGCAGTGGTAAGGGCTTGCTTTCAGACAGAAAGGGCTCGGCCCATTTGGGGGCTCAGTGTAGAGGCTCCTTGTTTAAGAAAACCTTATTCTTAAAAGGAAATTTAATCCTTAGCAGGTGAAACTATGCACCCTCATGAATCCAGTGTCTGTACTCCCCAGATGGTATTTAAATCTCAGCTGCTGCTGCTGCTGCTTCTGCCGCTGCTGCTTCTTTCTTCTTCTCCTCCCCCTCCCCCTCCTCCTCCTAATCCTTCGCCTCCCCTCCCTCTCCCTCTTCTTCTTCCTTCCTCCATCTTCCTCCTCCTCCTCCGTCTTCTTTTCTTTCTTTCTTTTTTGGTGGTACTGGGCCTTGAACTCAGGGTCTTCACCTTGAGCCTCTCCTTTAGCCCTATTTTTGTGAAGGGTTTTTCGAGATAGGATTTCATGAACTTTTTTGCTTGGGCTGGCTTTGAACTAGGATCCTCCTGATCTCTGCCTCCTGAATAGCTAGGATTACAGGTGTGAGCCTCAGACTCCTGGCTATTGAATTCCAGGTTTTTTGTTAGAGCTGTACTGATATATTGCAAAAGGAGAGATGGGGGAGGGCAGTGGGGCAGGACTGTCTAGGTTAACTGCTGGACAATCTGAGTATTGGGGTCATCTCTCCACTCAAAGACGAAAGGAATTGCACAGGGATGCAAAAGGAGGCATCGTTTGATTTTAGGACTATACACTAGGAAGCTGTGTGGGGATTTGAGTTACTAGGCTACATGTGTAAGGAACAATGGCGGGGAGAGGGAAAACTCCCTTGCTGATGGCCCTGAGATCTGGTTCCATCCTATAAGAGCCATCTGGTTTTTAACTGCCAGTAGGGAGTATTGCAGGGGAAATTTCCAAGAAGTTTTAAGTCAGCCAATCAAAATTTAGGAATGAGGAGCTAGAGTCCTCTTTGGGCCTCTGGTTTGAAGGGATATTGAAAAAGCTGAAGTCTTTCAGACTTGAGTAGGAGAAAGGAATGTCCACAGAGCTTAGGGTTCCAGACCTCAGTAGGAATTTGGTGAAGTTAGAAAGGATCAATGGTGAGTTGTGCTTGTGGGGCCAAATGTGCCAGTCAAGAGTAGACACTGTCAACTGAGGCTGTAGCTCAAATGATAGAGCGCCTGTATACCAAGTGCAAGACACTGAGTACAAAGACCAGTACTGAAACAAACAAAAAGACTGAACCTAGTGTTACCTGTGTTCTGGACACTAAGGCTCATCCTAGCTTGAATAAGACAGGGGCATTAGGCAGTACCAGGAAAGAGTGAGTAAAGACAGAGGTCTCTAGTGAGCTGACAAGCAGGGGAGTAAGGAACATTATTGGGCCTGTCCATCTATTCCTGTGAGGAGGATTGGGGACTGATAAGGAGGTCCAGGGATGGTAACTAGGGAAGAATATGGATCCCCCACCTCCATCAGAAAAGTAATTTTATTTCCTGCCACATTCAGGGTTAAATGGGAGTACTCCATGGAGATGGAGAACACAGGAGCCTGTATAACCCCTCGGCCCCATCAGTCGAGCTGTGGGTCTCCCCTAGGTGTTTATTCCTCATAGTCCAAGTCACCATGCATCTGCCAGTCACCCCACATAAGCTGTTCATGAGGATCCTGGGCTTCAAATGACCTCTCCTGAGGGCAAGGGAAGGGCAGTCCCACTTTGAGTGGCACTCCTGTTTGAAGCATGGACATGAGTCAGGTGGGAGACATGGATTTTGGCCATTGAAACTGAAATGTCCAGGCTGGCCACAATTATAGTAGGTGAATGAGGACCATGGGGGAACCTGTGGTATCCTGGGATTAGGTCAAGTAAGGCTGGGGCTAGTGTCCACAGCCTGAGGCCACCCTGCAGTGAAATGCAGTTAGCAGTGGCCATGGCCATACAATCAGCATGTCACCACTTTTCATCTGTGAATGCCTCCTTTTGAAGGGCTTGAATGCCAT